TTTCATACAAGGGTGTAAGCTCTGCAAAATGGATGTACAATGCAGATTTGATCTCCAATCTGGAGTACATCAGTTTGAACGGTTGCTCGGAGTGGGAAACTCTTCCACCTCTTGGGCAGCTTCCCCACCTCAAGTCACTGTACCTTTATAACATGCCACGAGCAAAGCGTCTTGATCATAAATTCCATGGGAATGACAAGGTTTCTGTGTTTCCATCATTGGAGGTGCTACATATTAAGGGATTACAAGTATTGGAGGACTGGTTTGATGGAGCAGGAGCAACAGCATATGACTGTTTCTTTCCTTGCTCAACTGAACTCTTCCTCGATAACTGCCCAAATCTGCACGAGTTGCCCCATTTGCCTCCTAAGCTCAAGGAAATGAAGATACAGAACATCGGATGGAAGACTGCTTTAAACTGCAAGCAAGAAACCAACAACTGTTGCGACATTTCAAAATCAACTCCCCTTGAGACATTAGAGGTCCTTTCGTGCCCAAACGTCACATCTCTTCTTCAGGCAGATGTAAGGCTTGAAGCACTGAGAAAATTGAGAATTGAAGGTTGCCCCAATCTGATTTCTCTTGGTGGACTGCAACAAGTGGAGAGTGGCATTGAGAAATCCCTGCAGTCTCTCCCTTCCTCCTTCGAACGCCTCTCTTCACTTGAGATTCTACGTGTCCAAGATGTTCCTCAGCTCCAGCAGCTTCAACACATCTCCGCCTCCCTGAAAGACTTACGTCTTGAATACCTGGAATCATTGCAGTGCCTGCCATCTTCTTTGTCGGCCATCTCATCTCTCACCTATTTAGAATTAGAAAGCATTCCACTCCTCAAATCATTGCCAGAATTCCCTCCCTCTTTGTCTTATATGTCTATAAAGAGGCTTGATAACCTACAGTGCCTGCCATCTTCTTTGTCGGCCATCTCATCCCTCAAGGAGCTTCATTTAGAGAGCATTCCACTCCTAAAATCATTGCCAGACCTCCCTTCCTCCTCGTGTTCAATAGTAGTAGCAAATTGTGATCCAGAGTTGATGAAGCGTTATTAACAAATATTGAGGACACAAGATTCCATACGTTCCTGATGTCAGTATTAATTTTATTTTAGAGTTGTGTTTGTAATTAAATTATAAAATCATTGTTTTGTCGTTAATTTTTAATTTCAATTGTAGTTAAAATATGATTTCTGATTTTGGATTGGATAGAGGAGTCTCATATAGCATTAAACTTAAAATATTGATGATTTTCTCTTCTGAAAATTGAATATATAAATATATTTGTTTGGATATATGGATTTACTCCACAAATAATTATTTATTTTTATTTATATTTTATTTGAATCAAAGTTTATTTGATCAGTTAAAATAAACAATAATTATTTTAAAAACAAAAAAAAAAAAAAAAAACTTTTGATTGATTTTCAAAACATGTAAATTTATTTTTAAAAATTAAAAATAAATTTAAAAATATACTAAACAGATGTATTTTTAAAATAAAATAATAAAAATGATTTCAAAGAAGCTCGAAATTATATGATTTCAAGTTAATGAAAATTGCATAATACAAATTACAAATTGATCGCATGGACATGCATATAACATCTAGTTTACGAATGGAATGAGTGGGTAAATGGAATGTTGGAATTTAATGCACATTGAAAAGTAAGATTTACAAGCATGCCACTCAATTTCTATGTATTTGCTTATCTAGCACCTAAACTTTAATTTTTAAGTACATAGCACCTTATGCCTGAAAATGTGTATTTCACCATTTTAAAGTTAAAATGGTGATTTTTGCTATGTGATATGAATAATTTGGGTGGTATAAATGTAAAAAAAAGTAAATTTTTGATATTAGATATGTAAATGCATATGAATTGGGTATGCAAATACACCTATTAAAAAAAGGTGAAAACTTATGGGGAAGGTGGTTTGCCTTTAGGGATTTAAAGTTAAACATAATATTTTGATGGTTAATATCATGTTGGACTTTCTGTGTTACGACAAAAATGGGCAGAAGTGGGGTTGTGTGTTTATTTAATGAATGAAAAAAAGGTGTTGGAATCATCAAGAGTGCATGACTTGATTGTTCGCACTCTCAAGAAGACGCGGGTGACCCCAGAGAGACGTTATACTAGAATGTTAGAAGTTGAGACAAATTTTTAATGAGTTTTGTTGTGTGATACAATATTTATGTCAGTACATAGATGTTAATGTTTTAATTTTATACAAAGATCTAGAAAACATATATGTAAGGAATTTCAAAAGAGACATTAACAATTTTACTTGAAAAATTCGAAAAAAAAAGAGCGTAAATTCAATTGAAATGATCAACTATATGCATGGTGCTCCTGAAGTCTTCTCTTCCCTGTTATTGGAAATATATGATAACAAAGTGGAAAAAACTTATTCGTTCTCTCGTGTCTATAAAGATTAGTAAAAGGTGATGAGAAGAATAGCACCAAAATCTTAAAACATTCCATTAAAAGAACCATGTTGTTTCTTTTAATTCATAACCTCAAATTATTTGGCATTGTTGAATACCTACTTAAGACCCTCCGACATGTGTTGAGGGACATGACTGAAATCATTTTGCTGGATTCAGGCTGTCACATAGGCAAAAGCTGATCGACATTTTATCTGTCGGAAGGCTTTGATCGGACCGATGGATCTTATTCTCCATGTAACGTACAAATCTTACTTATGTTAGCTTTATCTTCGATGAATTTTTCCACTTGTCCTTGGATGATAAAACGGACTGCGCAAGCGCGTCCGATACATCAATTTTGCGTAGGAATGACACTCATATTATCGTGGTTCTATGCGCAGGTCAATAGTGTGCAAATCAATGCATTTAAATTAATTAAATTAAAAAGTAATAATAATATATATAATATTACAAAAGGATTGAAATCCTTCACAAAAAATGCCTCACCGCTCACATGCATGATCACACGCATGTTCCCGAGCACTTGCGCACAACTACACGAGCATCGACACGCACACAGCGCCTCCATCCATGAATACAGTGCAAAACCAGTTGCTTCAGCATGTGCATACCATCATGTTTGAGCATATGCACACATAGTGCTCTACATGCGTATGCGCACGCCTGTGTGCAAGCCACCCCAGTTGCTTCAGCATGTGCATACCATCATGTTTGAGCATATGCACACATAGTGCTCTACATGCGTATGCGCACACCTGTGTGCAAGCCACCCCAGTTGCTTCAGCATGTGCATACCAACGCACATTATGCCACCCAAACTGGATTTGGCCTAACTTTTTGACTTTTACCCCCTTTCCCCGCCGCTTGTACCCACTTGTAATCTTATTAAAGATATTATTTTTCACCATTAAAAGGGTGCTTGAGATGACAAATTTCACTGATATTATTTAAAGTGACCCAAGATGTCATAAATTATTTTTATCATCCAAAAAAGGAGGTTTCATTGTCTCATCAGACTAAAAAAAGAGGTTACTTAATGAGAGGAAGGTACTACATAAAAAAAATAAAAAGAAGTGACCATTACATTGGAGGGGCTTTTTGGGCTATGGAACTCCTACTAAGAAAAAATTAAAGAGAAGGAGCTCTTGGGAAAAAAAAAAGAGGAAAAGCAAGAGTTCTCCTTCTTGCTTGCTTTCTAACAACTTCTCCACCTCTTCCACGATCCTCTCCACCATTCCTTCCAATTTATCTTCTTGTGAAAATTGTTGAGGAGTCCACTTGGAAGAGAGGAGAGTTTCCTCTTTCATTGGAGAAGGAAAGATGTGCCATCTCTCCTAAGAAAGAGAGCACTATCCTTGCAACGATAGGAGCTTAGAGCAAGTCGAGAGCATGCGTCGCAAACATAGCGTACGTGAAGATCTCACAAACTTTTTTTTCTTACTTTTTTAGTGAATGCTTAGGTTTCTTATGTTGTGCTAGAGCTTGTCTTTAGGTTAGGAAGCTTTGCAATGTTCTTAAAGCCATGTGTTTCCTTTGAGCTATCTTCTTAAGCCTTAGTTTTTTTTTTTCTTTTCTCTTTTTGAACCTATGTGAGGGTGTTAGAGAATAGAAGGTTTGCTATTATAATGGATTAAATGTGTGCAAGTCATGGACCATTCTTGCTATGCATACATCATATTTATCTCATGTAGGTTCTTGTGCAAATGCATGAAAATTTCATGTTTGGATGCTTAATTGTAGCCCTATATTTGCATACCCTAATGCAAGTGAAAGTAATGTTTAAATAGCACATGTGAAAATTATGTTTGAGTGTGCTTAATGAGCTAAATTCATTTGGATGACTAAGTTGGTTTCATTAATATGATGAGCTTAATTTTATCATACTTATCATAAGTAATTAACTGATTAATTAATCTCAATTAATCTCATTAATTAATTACTTAATTTCATTTAATTTGCTAATTAATCTTAATTAGTTAATTGATTATTCTCATCAAAATTAAATAAATAATCTTTTTAGTCAATTAGTCAAAATTTATTTAGTTAAATAATTAATATATTAATTAATTAATCAATCAAGCTTAATTAATTAATTAATTAACTCTTTTAATTAATATTAATTAATTAATCATTTTTAATTAGTTAATTAATTCTCTTAATTAATTAATTAATTATATTTTTAATTAATTAATTAATTAATTGTAGTTAATTAAGTAATTAATTATCGCTTTTAATTAATTAATTATCTAAATTAATTAATTAGTCTTACTTAAGTAATTAATAAATCTCTTTTAATTAATTAAATATCCTTTTTAAAATTAATTAATTAATCCTAATTAATTCATAATTTATATTTAATTAATCTCTTTTAATAAATTAATTTACTTCATTTAAGTAATTAATTAATCTTAATTAATTAACTCATAAATATTAATTAATAAATTAATCTTAATTAATTAATCAATCTTGATTAATTTGATTCAATTAATTCACTCTTTATTAATTAATTGACCTCATCTAATTAATTAATTAATTATATAATTTCAATTAAAGTTACTTAAACCTCATTTAAATGATTTATTTCATTTTATTAAACAAAGAAACTCATCTTATTTGTGAATTAAGCTCTTTAATTGATGAAATATTTTCATTTTCTTAATGAGTAGTCTAGTGAGGTAATCCTGTTGATTCCATTTTCATGACATGTAATTAAAATACAAAAAATCATGCATGGTATAACTTTGAGTATGCATATGAATTAATTTCCGATGTTTATATTTGACTTAATATCTAAACCTATGCTAAAATTATATACTTTACCCTATGTTAAATTTTTGTGTTGCATGGAAAATTAAAGTGGCTTTATGCTTTTATTTTTCAAATTTGTGAAAACTACTTTTCTTTATGAATATTATGTATCGATATCATGGTTACCATACATATCTAGCCATTCATAAATGCATGACATGCATCGAATTGGTTTGTCATTTGCATTTGCATATTACTTGTTTCTCGGGCAAGGTGTCATTTTCCTTGTGATGTCCCTTACCTGAGGAAACCAATACATATTGAATGTGGAGCATCCTAATAATGTGCATCTCTTATGATTGTTGCATTGTATGCCTGTGCATCTGCATTAGGCATGTGTAGCAAGAGCATATGTTATCATATGCCTCTTGATGTATAATATTTGCTTTTTTTGTATGTATGGTTCTAACTATCCTTTGGCTCTAGTTTAGCTCCTACATCACTTGGTATATTTGTATTGCTTTGCATATAGCTTTACTCTGATATGATATCCATGTTATGCACAGATGTTTACTTGATGTGATCGTGCTTATCATGGATATGATTTCTGTATTAGGCACATTTGTTCATTTATTATGATCGAGCTTAATATGAAGTTGATATATGTATTGTGCACATATGTTCACTCGATGATATTGTGCTCTATATGGACATATGCTTATCCCTTTTTTGCTTAGTTGTTACTTTACATAACTAGGCTGGGTAAGCAGAGCATGTGTTTATACATATGCCTTTCTTGATATCTAGTATGACAGTCATACGAGAAACTTCCTGATATATCGCATACAATCACTTACACATGGGCAAGTTGATATGATATGTCTATTCATATGCAATTTTTTATGATCATGACATGATTTATTTTGATAGCAAACTGTCTATTATTTTGATGTGTGTGATCTGATGCTGGTCACAATGCTTAAACTAACTTTTCTCGTGAGTATAACTCAACAGGTAATGTGAGTTCTCGTATCCTGACTAACGTGTGTGTGACGGTGCTAAGTTTCTAAGGACTCCAACACATGCCACTTAGGTATTCCTTTATTAGGATTATTTTAAAATAAAAAAAACTATTTTTATTAGTACGCATCATGTTTTAAATCATATTTTAAAACTTAATTGCACGATTAAGTTGACTCTAAGTAAGGTCTTCTCATTTAAAATTCTTTCTAAAACTAGCATTCTAGTGGCATGCTCTAGACTTTAAATCTTCAAGGTTGGGTCGGTGTTGGGAACCCCATCAAAGTCGTACACAAGCCTCTTACCAATACTTTGCACACACTTAGATATTGTGTTAAGGACCGCCTTGCGATTAGAAGGCTTGCTAAGCTTGGGTTAGGGTGTCAGGTAGTATTTTTTGTGTCTGACTATTGTTCTATATGGTTTGGTTGTTCTAGTGAGGCATCATTTTGTATGATGCTTTGTGAGTTTACTTAGTTAGGATGTGTGCAATGTTTTCTTCGTTTGAATAACCAAACCCATCGTAAAAATGATATTTATGTCTTTCAATGCGATTTACTAGTTTTGATGACACACTTGATTATTTGAACAACCAAAATATTAGATTCATCATGGCATTCAAAAGCCTCATTTCGAGGGTGAGATAATACCCAAGGCAAATCAATTGTATCCACCCAATTTCACCAAGTTAGATTCAAGCATAGTCAATTTTATCATTGCACTCATAGCTTTCATGCATACATCAATTCTTTGGCATAAAATACTTTGACATCCATGCCTAGAAGTCTTCAAGTCCTTGCTCAAGGCATACTCTTCTTCATACATATCATCAAAATTTCAACATTATAATAATTGTAAAGCATTTGATGTGTCTCTTCCTTCAAAGTTGCATGCCTCATAAACATCATGCTTTCTAGATAAATTGAACAATTCTCCCCATATAAGTTGTGAAATCATTGCAAACCCAATTGCTTACACTTCTGGGCCTTTAGATGTCATTGCTTTTCCTAGCTAAAGTCACAAGCACATCATAAACTAGTATCGTGTTCCACTCTATGCATTTTCTTGGGCTATTCAATAGTTCATTAAGGATATAAATGCTTCAACCTCAAATTGGCAATGTTTATATCTCCCACCATCTCGAATTTGATGAAATTTTCATTTCATGTGCTTCCCAGTTGCTTACCGCTCCATCGATAAACCAAACCTCTTACACCAACCCACTACTACTGACACCTACATCACTAAATATTAATTCCACCATAGCCCGCCATTCAGGTATGGCTCACAATAACTCTCTGTCTACTCAGAAAAATAATATACCCTTTAGCACTCCCCACCTACAATTTCTCAATAGCCCCACCAATCAATAAGACTAATACTGCAACACATCTCTTCACTCTTTTGTCCATCCAATGATTACACAAGCCAAAATTGGCCATCTCAAACATAATAGAAACTTTACCTCCCTCATCAACTACAAAAATCATTAGATCATACTTGTTACACCCAAGCTAAAAAAAACAAACATTTAAAGACGAGCCAAGAATGAACAATTATATGCTCATCAAGCGCAAGCAACATGAGAACTAGTGAAATCTCTCATTGACCAACTAGTTTTGGGTTATCATTGGACATATTACACTAAATTATAACCCGATGGAATGGTGGCAAGATATAAGGCACACTTAGTGGCACTAGGATATAAGCAACATTTTGGTGTCAACTATCATAAAATATTTAGCCTCATCACAAAAATGCCCACTCTCTACATTCTCCTCACAATTGCATCCATAGACAATGACCTATTCTTCAATTTGAAATTTTGAACACCTTCCTACATGGAACTCATTCAGAATATACACATGCAATGGATTAGTTAATTCACAGCTGCCAAATCATGTTTGCTTACTCAGAAAGGCCTTATATGTCCTTAACTAATCTCCCATATAGTGGTCCACAATAATTTCTTAGTTCTTCATGGAATGGGCTTTGAAGTCAGTAAAACGAATACTTTACTACTCATTTCTATGTATTACTCTATTTTGATGACATTTTGATTGTAAGATCCAAAGTCTAGGCCATAACAGATCTCAAATATAGATTACGTACAATCCCGATCAACACCAAAGAACCAGGTCATGTTTCTAGATTCATGAGAATCAAAGTAACCAGAACCGAAAAACATCTATTTTTGGGATAACATCATTACTTACAACAACTTCTCTAAACATCAAACATGTTTGGTTGTAAACATGCTTCTACCTACTTCTCGACAAGTTGAATTTGACATCATAATCACATCCACTCGAGGACTTCACAAGGTATAAGCAGATTAAGGACCACTTTTATATCTAATGATAACTAAATCCAATATCACATTAACAATCAATCTCTTATGTCAACACATGCAAAGTTTCTCAGACCATCATTTTCAACTATTAAAATTCTTACTAAGGTACCTCCAAGGCACCCGTGACTTCGACATACTCATTACCCCAAGAAATCTTACACTCCATACATTCTTTGACTCAGACTGGGTTGTCGAAGCAAAGAATCGTCGGTATACCACACATTTATGCTCATTTCTTGGAAATACACCTAT